TTTGGTGTTTTTGAGACAGGGGCTCTCTGTAGCCAGCTGCCCTGGAACTATGTAGACCAGGCTGGCCTTGAACTCACAGAGATCTGCCTGCCTCTGTCTCCCAAGTGCTGGGACTACAGGCATGCACCACCACGCCCAGCTACCAACAGTATTTTTAGGCCATCCCAAAACCTGTTACCAGTAAAACAAAATAAATCCCAAATTTTTAAAAATTATGTGATATGTCATTTTCTCCTTCTCTGAATATGCAATTTTCAGACATAAACACTAATTGGTCACCAGTTTGTCTTTTGTTTTTATGTATTAAGTTGGACTATTAGCAGCTTCTTGTAAAGCAAGCTTTTAGCCACCACACTCCTGGTTTGTCACCAATGGTTAAGACCTTCACATATATATTGCTACACTTCATTTACATGAAGCATGTTACCTGGGCAATGAGAAGTGATTTCAACAATTTTAGTGCTGAATCCTCGACTAAAACTTTTATTTCCTTGTGCTGAATAGGGCATACACAGATCCACATATAAAGAACAGTAATCATATCAGGCACAGTCAAATCTACTAACCAGCCAAACTAGCTTTTCCAGAAATAAACCAGAAAAAACAGTTAGTCAATAAACTATACAATAACTAGATAAACTTTCTTTTGTGGTGGCTGTGAAACAGATTAAGAAGTAGGTAGCAAAGGATCAGCAAAACAGTTGAAGAAAATATCTTCCCCTCTTCCCAACCCATTAGCCGTTTAATAGTCATCTTATGGCAACTGGCTTTTTAGGTTTCTGTGTGCTTGATCTTCTGTAAAACATAAACCTCACATCATCCCTTATTTCAGATGTGTCAGGTGAGTATATTTCACAAATACTGTAATTTCATCCTTACTGGAAAAAACAATTCTCCAAACTGGTAGTAATGAAGTGAATACAGAAACAAGACTTGGACATTAATCTCACAGTGCAAGTTATTTCCTGCTAAGTACCTTTAATGTGTTTGCATCTGCAGCAAGCATGATTTGCTCATTTGGGCACTGTAAGTTAGGGGTGTAGTGCTATGCATTAGACACAAAGTCATTCCAACCAGTATTAATCCAGATGAATATAAAACTGAACAAAGTAGTTCTGATAAAGGCTACATTCACAAACCCAATATAGTTTCTTTTCAATCAAGGGCTTCCATTTACAACTGTTTTGTTAATGATAAATAAAAACAGGTTAAATGTCCTACTCTCAAGTCAAATAATTCAAACTACTGTTTGAAATACCAAAAATCGCCACATTACTGCTCAGCAACTCCATTCAAATAAACATTGATACTGCATTCTAAAAAAATGAGAAAGAAGGTACAGCTGTGGCAAATGCTTAAGTTTCCATTCTAAACATTTAAAACAAGACACCCCACTCTGCATCCTTTAGACTGCCACTTGCTTTGATAACTTGAAACTGTCATATTTTACTTCAACAGATAAAGCACTCTGCTGAGAATATAAAAAGTTATAAAAAGGCAATCATAAAAGACTAAATATTGGTAGGCATGTCAGCTTTCTTTTAATAAAAACAAAAATAGTCATTGTCATCTCTTTAAATAGGTAACTTTTGTTATATAGTGTTCCAGTTATTGAAAAGGGGCCTTAAAAAAAACCCAACTGCCTAGGTTTAAACCCTACCCCTCTTGCCCCATAAGAGAGAAGTGAGCAAAGAGTCACTTAATGTGCAAATTGGCAAAAAAAAAAAAAAAAAAAAAAAAGTGGAAGAGCGGGGAGTTCTTGAAATGATGTTCCCAATCAATTCTTGGTTTATTTTTTTCTTATAGTATCAACCTTCAGAAAGTAAAGTAACCAAAGCGTCTTAAAAATACACAAAACAGACCTTCATCTTTGCATTCCTTTCCAAACACAAAAAGTATGTACAGCATGTTTAATAATATGCAATATGCAAAAGCATTGTGTTGCTGTTAGCAACATCTATTCCCACCCACCCTCTTTATTCACAAGTGTACTCTACTAAACACAATTACATCACTAAGCCTGTTAGTTTGGGGGGGTCTTAAATTTGTTAAAATTGAAAAATCTTTGTATAAGGGCTCCACTCATTTGAGTCAAGGTTATATACTTCCACCGTATTTAGAAATTCATTGCCATCAAATCCTCCCACTGCATAAATGGTGTTCCCTACAGTTGTAATCCCAGCATTGCTCCTTGGTGAAGTCATATTTCCCATCATCTTCCATTCATTTCTAGTTGGATCATACATCTCCACACAACTGATGGCATGAGAACCATCAAAGCCACCACCTACAAATAGTTTTCCTAAAAGAAAAATGATACAGAGTAAATCTAAAGAAAGCTAAAATATTATACAGAAAAAAAAAAAAAATCCCTCTTTTGTTGGGAGAAATAGGTAGTTTTTCAATAGAAATGACTATTCGTGTCCAAAAAGATTTTATTAAATGCCTATGAGGCAAGGCATTGTGCTCTAATGCCAACATTCAGGAGGCCAGTACTGCAGGACAGCCAGTTTGAGGCCAGTCCAGGCTACACAGTGAGACCTTACCTAAAAAAAGAAGGGGGAAAGAAAGGAAAGAAAATGTCTATGTAGTTTGTCAAGGGCATTGGAAATCAGGTCTATAAGATGCGAAAAACGAACAAAAATCCATTCCTATAGCAACTCTGGTGACTAAAGGGAAAGAAAGAAGCAGCAGCACCTAGAATACATTTCTCACAATTCTTTGTGGCATTTCCTACAGATCATCTCACAGATGAAAAAATAAGAGGTGCACACACACAAAACAGTAAAGAACTAGGTGTGGTGGTGCACACATTTAGTCCCAGCACTCGGGAGGCAGAGGCAGGTGGACCTCTGTAAGTTCAAGGCCAGCCTGCAGGGAGACCCTGTCCCCCTCCACTACCACCACCAAAAAAAAAGAAAGAAAGAGAGGCACAAAGAAGCCAGATGGCTCAAAATCCGAGACTTTGAATATGGGTATACTTTAGGAGGAAAGTGACTTAGAACTTTATTATATATACTCACCAAAACATGGATGAATAAATGTTATTTTTTATCAAGTATTTTAAACACACACACTTTTGGGAAAAACCTTCAATCTCACTGCATCAAAACATGTGAGCTGCATCTGAATTATTTTAAAAATTTATTGTTGTTGTGTGCATATAATGTGTGTGTGCCTGGGTATGCACAGGGCAAGCACAAGTGTGGAGGCTAGACGTCCTTTACCTGGGTTCTAGAGATTGAACTCAGGTTGTCATGCTTGTGTGGAAGATGCTTTACTTCTTCTAAGGTATGATACCCTTTCTTGAAATTTCGAGCTAATTCTTGTCACCATGTACGATTCACTCACCATCAAGAACAGCTACTCCAGCTCCTCGCCTAGCCACATTCATGGGTGCAATTAAAGTCCAGGTGTTATTTTCAGGATTGTAACGTTCTACTGTATTCAGACAATTCCAAGATTCTGCACCTCCGATTATATACAAATAACCACCAAGTTCACAAACTGCAGACTGGTGTCTACCTATGAAAAGCAAGGCAAACCAAGATTTTTACTACAGCTATCAAAATTAATGTGTACTACATTCTATTAATTTACGGGTCCTTAAAAAAATATTTGTAATCCAAGCACTTGAGGTAGGAAGGTAGCCTCAAGTTCAAAGCCAGCCAGTTTGGTCTATGTAGCAAGTTCCAAGCTAGCCAGGGATACATAGCAAGTCTTTATCTCAAAAACACAATAAAAAAAGATGACTATCAACTTACGAATGTTAAGAGGAGCACAACTTGTCCATGACTTTGTTACAGGATCAAATACATCACAATTTTTCAGGCCTTTCTGACCATATGGATCTGAGCCACCAACAATGTATAATTTCCCATTGAGAGCACATACTCCTATGAAAGTGTAAAATGTTAATAATTTAATTACCATGTTTAAACAGTGGCTGTCCCAAGGGAAGAGCATATTACCTGCATTACAGCGGTTAGTTCTCAATTCTGGAACAGGAGTCCAGTCATCAATGCTTGGATCATACGTCTCTCCACAACTCAGGTCATCCGAGTGCCCATTTGACCCACCTACCACGTATAGCTGGCCCTATGTCAAAAGTGAGATGTAAGAAACTCCCACCATTGTAAAGTTATTGGGGGTTGGGTGGGAGTTACATATGGATCATTTCTGCAGCACCATGCTTACCATCAGTACAGCCATCTGAAATCTGGCTCTTGGTGTTCTCATGGGAGCAAGAAAGGACCAATGATCTGTATGTGGATCATAGCATTCAACAGTTCGAAGACATTCCTCTCTGTTATAACCACCTGGTATAAAAATCATAAATTTTTATGTTTGAAATATGAAACTGGACTAAAATGGCTGGATTTGTGTGTGTGGGGGGGGTATCTTCAGGAAGGTTTTACAATTGTGATCCTCCTGACTTAAGTCTCCCTAGTAGCTAGATCACAAGCCTACATTACCAGGCCTGGCTCATGGTAGAGTTTTTGACTGTTTTTTTTTTTCTTTCTTTTTTAAAACATTTATTTATTGGGGGTGGGGGGCACATGACCGGGCACAAGCTCCTGCATATGTGTGGTCAATTTTCTGGAGTCAGTTCTCTCCTTCTATCATGTGGGTCCCAGAGATTGAACTCAGGTCATTAGGATTGGCAGCAAATACTTTAACCCACTGACCCAGCTCACTTGGCCTCAGACCAATCTTAAAATCATGATCCTCTTGCCAAATCTGATTAAAAAGCATATGCTACCAGCCCCAACTTTCAGTAATGTGCCCACTGAGAAAAAGTACTTTGTTGTTCCTTTTAAAAAATTAGACTTGCTAGGTGTGGTGGTGCATGCCTTTAATCCCAGCACTTGGGAGGCAGAGGCAGGCAGATCTTTGTGAGTTCGAGGCCAGCCTGGTCTACATAGCGAGTTTCAGGACAGCTGGGGCTGCAAGGAGACCCTGTCTCAAAAAGACAAAAAAAAAAAAAAATTAGACTTAAGAGATGTGGCTCAGTACTACAGCACTTGGCTCAGCACGCACTGAAGCCCTGGATTAAATCCCTAGCACCTGCTCCCCCCGCCCCCAAATTCAAACAGCTACTTTTAATAAAAGTTAGGCATATTCAATAGCAGTGTTATTTGTACCATCTTGGAACAAGCGGAAGAAAGCATAAAATTGTCATGCCACAAAAGCAAATAGAAATCCTTATTTATAGATCTATCTGTTAAACTCTTATGACAGATCAATTTTTCTGCTCTTACCTGCAGCTATGAGTTTGCCATTCATCTCTGCAGTCCCCAGACCAGATCGTGCATACTGCATGGGGGACATGGGCTTTTCGATGAGCTCATCTGGCTGCATCTCAAAGCTTAAACTCTTGATTAGTTTTGGAGTACTTGTTGGTGAACTCTGTGGACTGTTTCGCCCATGAAGGAATATTACACAGAATATACCATCCAGCACGGCCAGGCACAAGTAAGTGTTATCTGCAAACATAAGAGCTCCAGGTTTATGGTGTAGTTAATACTTTGGGTGGTTGGATGATTCTGAATTGGATTCCAGTCTCCAGATCCCAGATCGGAGCATTCTGCTATTACTTCCCAAATGTGATTGTTCAGAATTTTTCCTTAGTCAATCTGTATTAACTGACAGCTATCCTTAAATACAGATATACAGAAGACAAACTTACTTGAAGTTTTTTCTGAAGCAACGATTTTCCACTCATGCTTAGGACTTTGCACTGAAGCATTTGGAGAAGACAGACATCCAGTGGAACTGCTACTTATCTGCTTATGGCCATTCTCACGTGGTGGCTTTTTCTGCAAAATCAAAAGGCAGCTACAGAAACCTAGCCAAAGACCGTACCTGGTGTACCTTTGTTCCTGAGCTACTCCACAACACTGCCAAAACACTGAGCATCTTCCACCTACTCACGACATAGCACACTAAACGGAACACAAACTAACACTTTCCAACTGACAGATTCCTGATGTACCTCCACCTCCACTTAAAAACAACTATGTCTACAAAGCTAACAGTCTGCTCAGAAAAGATCAATTTCAACAATTCAAAAATCATGTTGCAGATCAAGCACCAGAACAATTATCTCAATACAGGGAGAGAAAGGCAAAATAACATACAATCTACATAATCTCAAAGACTAAGTCTAGAATCTCCAAAAAGTTTATTTAAAATGAGACAATAGCTTTAATTCATTGTCTCCATGAAATGTCAACCTAATTGAACTGTCTACACTAGTACCCTTCATATGACACCAGCAAAAGAGTACATACAGATTCTGCTAATCCCTGGAAGCATTTGACAGGGGAAAAGCAGTAATATTAGGAATGCACCCAAGCGCAATTATTTAGGGCTGTCTTAATAAGGTATTGTAGAGTGGTATCACAGACAAAACCAAACTCTATATACACATTAGAAATGAAATACTAAAAGAACCACATACACAATTACAATACCATAACAGTAACAAAGGAACAAATGATTCTAAGAGAACTATATACGTGTATTCTCACGTATGAGCTTCTTTGGCAGCTTGTTTTCAACTATTTTTAGCTCTTGCAACTTCCAAGAGATAGGTCATATAGAATCCTGAAAGTGCTGGGCATAGTACTGCACACCTGTAATCCCAGCACTCGGGAAGCTGATGTAGAATTGAGTCTGCAGCCAGCCTGAGCTACACATGATACCCCATTTTAAAAAGACTATCCCAAGAACAGGTATCTTTAGTGCCTAGCAAATTCTGCTCAGACATCTATCCTGGTCGCTAGGGACAGGGACAGACCACACGGGCAGGTATAATTTCTAATGGGAACTTGTATTGCTCATGGAAACAAAAAGCAACAGAGAAATAGAGTAGAAGAGATAAAAGATTCTGATAGATATTTAAGGCTGTATTTAAAGATTACAAGGTACATAAAAACCCATCTCAATTTGTGGAAAGGGGTCCCAAGTATCACAAAAATCACAAATAGAGGTTAACATTAAAGAGGTTTTGGAGCAGTACAATGCTCTAACGTATGGACTGTAACTGAGAGAAAATGAGTATGAAAAAGAGGCAATATACCACTAAAGATGACTAGAATTATTTAACTAACAGGCCTAATATAAAAGTCCTTGTTAACTTTTCCACACATCCAGTATCTACCCCAATCTTATTTTATACGGCCACATTTTCTTCTACATTAGGTGGCTTTTATAACTTCAGTACATTCTAATCACATTTCTATCTTTCCAGTGGCTTCTTCTCAACTGTCTTTTCCTATTTCTGAAGACTATTATAGGATCCCTCACCTTTTCTACTCTAAGACCTCCTCTGTTCATGACATTTTTAAGAGGATATAAAGGTCAGAATCCCACCAATTCTCATATTCTTCCCTCAAACCTTCCTAAACAACCTAATCAACCTTTGTATGTCTATGTATAGGTATAAATAGGTGGAGTTCATCCTTTTTCCATTATTAATGGATTCCTAGATTAAGCCTTTACTATTCTTTAAGCCTAAATACTACTTGCAATATACAAATCATTCTTACAAGTTTTAACCTACCCCCAGTGCCTGGCCACAAAAACAGAAGAGCCTAAGGCAACAACTGTGCAAAGTTGAAAAAAAAAAAACAAAAAAAACCCCACCCATATATTGTCAATCATATGGTCCAGAGACTACTACCTGACCACTGGCCGTCTACTTAAAATACAATTAATGAATGGCAAATAGAGGTATAATTTACCATATCCCCCCTAACTGCTGTTTTTCTTTTCTTTTTTTTTTTTTTTTAAATTGAACGTATTATCACTTAGTGTACTCTCATCTGAATTCTTGCTAAAGGCTGAACATGTAGCTACAGTAGGGCACTTGCCTGGCATGTGCAAAGGCCCTAGGTTTGATCCCCAGCTCCACACCAAGGAAAATTTAAAAATGTTCCCACGTGCCTACTTTTCCAGACTATAACTTCCAAACACAACAGCATTCTTGCCCAGATAATCATCTAACATATCTCCTCTATGATAAATCTTTAAATCCTAAGCCTGCTTGCTTCTGGGCTCCCTCCCTTTGTAGATGGCTTTTCTAAGTCTACAATGTTTTACCACTATGATAATATCCTACAAACACAGCAACTACTTTCTGCACATTTTTGTATTCTCATGTCAACCATCATGGCCTAAACGGATTACTGAGCAATCAATCTCTTGTCAGTTGAAAAGATACTTTACCACGCAATTCATTACTAACATTTACTTTCTAACTTTTAAAGCAAACACTCCTTAATCTAGGTTTATTCTATTACATATCCTTTATAAGTACAATGTTGAGCAAAAAGTCAGATAAAAAGAATGCATATTGCATAAACCATTTATAAAAGTTCTAAAAACAGGCAAAATGTTCCCTAAGTAAGAACAGTGTCTTTTTTGGACAGCATAAGGCAGTGATCGTGAAGGGTCAAGAAGAAAGCTTCTAGGGTACGCGAAGTCTTTTCTTCTCCAAGAAGAACGTTGTTTATATTGATTGACTCACTGTGCATTCAAGATTTGTGGGGTTAGGAATGTAGTTTAGTGATAAAGTATGTGAGTAATTCATGAAGGCCCTAGATTTAATCTCCAACACCACAAAAAACAAGTGTTACTTTTCTCTATGACATTGCCTCATTTGTCCATAAGCAGAAAAAGTGGTTATATACCTCAGATGCTTGTTCTCTACTGTTGAGAATGTCTAAATTAAGTATGTGTTTAATAAAAGGCTTTCAAAGTAACTCCATCAGTACAATGAAATTATAGCTTTAATTCATTTTGCTCAAGAAATTTCCAGATCACATTCTAACATATGATCAAAGCATTTCTAGTTCAACAGCATATAACCTTAACATTCTAAATCATGTCAACATGGTACTCAACCATTTCTATTTCAAGTAATTAAATAGCCAAAATTTCTTTCATAGCCATCAGCAATCTAAGTCAACTGCATCTTTTTAAAAAAAATGGTTAGTCGTGCTTGTTACAAATAACTTTTTCATAATCTAACCAAAATAACAAAAATATACTGCTTTAGGTGAATCATACTTGGAGGAAAAAATATAAATGGGGTTTTTCTAATTTGCTGGGTTAATTTTTATTCATGTGGCAAAAATACTAATAGTTCTGAAATATGCTTGCTTTCTCCCAAAAAATGTTTCTGTCCAGTTACACCAATGAAATTCGTCCACTTTCCTTTATTAAAGGAAAATTTAAGTATGCTATAAAGTCTCCAGTTAAATTTTAACCTGAGGTTACCTCAGACTGTGCAATGTGTACCTGCACAAACTGAATGTGGTCATCATCACTGCCAAAGACCTCAGCCTGTCCATCTAGTAGGTTCCCATCAAGCAGCTTGTGATCAGCTGAGTAGTACAAGGTTTGAACCTGCAAAACAGCAACAGAACACCCATGTGGCTACTGTCACCATGGCTACTCCGCTAGAATGCAGATTACACAACCGCCTCAAGGAAACCTCCAGTGTGCTTCTTGACACCTTACTCTGGCAGGATCCCGAAGTAAAGAAAAATACATGTCATGGTGGTAAAAATTTAAAAAGCAAAAGCGAAAACAAAAAAAAACAAAAAAAAAAAATCAAGATCAAATACAAAATCTTCTAATACTGGCTGAAGAGTCCTTGGCTTGATTGGCTTGAAAGAAATCTTCATTGATTTCATGGCTTCTCTTATATAACATTAAGAAAAAAATGCATAGTACAACATAGATTCTTAAATATACATTATTTACAACAAAACACTGAATAGTTTACACCTCTGAAGATAAACGGCACGGTTTGCATAAACATATTTCTCCCTGTAGGTTATATCAAGAAAAACAGATAAAGGAAAAAAATAAAAAATAAAAAAATGCTAAAACTCGGGCAAGCTCTACTCTTCATTGACAGATGCAAATACATGACAGGTGCATCTGATTCTCAAGTGGGAAACCACAGAATTTAAAGATCATCTGTTAGCCTTTATAGTATGTAGTAATGACAGTAAGCATAGGACTAACAGATTTGGTAAGCCTTGAATAAGAATGAAAAGGCTTATATGGAATGATATATGCAAAGTTACTCCACTGCTCTAACCTCCATATTGACTGTCACCAGTTTTTCCATTGATTTTTGTTCTTCTTGTGTATTTTTTAAAAAATAGTTCAAGTTAACTGACTATATGTATGAACAACACCATTGAAAACACAAAGCTTTAAAGAGAAGAATCCTGTAAAGGAGTAAACACCATTAAATCATCATCGTTCTCTGCCCACAGCGGATTTTTTCTTAGGAGAACTGGGGCAGGACTGCTGCTTCTTTACGTGTCAATACACTTGAGGTTTCTTCTTGTTTCTTCAGTCTTGGGTATCCTATTTGTTAATAAACCTATGGGGAGATAAACCAATGGGGAGGAACAACCATTAGAAGCTTTACCTACTTGTCAAATTTAAAGCAAAAACCTGTGAAGAAAAATTAAGAATCTACAGAAAATATCAGTACCACCTCCCATTTCTAAAGCAAATTACATGCTACTTTAAAGAAAGTTAACAGCACATAATAAGCAAAGAAAAAAAGGGGAAAAAAGAAAAGCAGAAGACCAAACTGAACAGTTCATTCAGCTCACCTGGACACCCCCCCTGTTTCTCAGCTTAGGGGTACCTATAGCAAAATTTAAATTCTTTAGGGTCATGGTTATAATAAAATAAAAGTGAAAGGGAATCCTTCATGTTATAGCAAAATAATCTGTAAGAACTGTTGAATCCCATTTACTTTAAAACTAACCTCTTCCATCAGCTCTTCCAGACTGTCTCCATTCTCCCAGATGCTACGCTGCACCCAGTTGATTACCTTTGTATACAATTTTCCATTGCTGGGTAAGCAAACATTATCTTCAAGCATTACCTCCAACTAGAATTGGTAAATAAATAAATAAATACACAGTGATATACAATATCAGAGCTAAAATCCTAGTTCTTATTTTCATTCTCATTTCATGTAATTTGCATGGAGGGGCTCATGAGTCCCCAATCCTAGCTGAGGAGCTAGTGACAACTGATGGCTTCTGGGGCAGGGATCAGTTTTCTTTAAATGTGCAGCTCCTTGTAGGTTCACCAGGCTCCAGTGGATGGCCCCAGACCCATGAGTATATGGGAAGCACAAACTGGGAAGGGGTGTTTTGGGGGGGGGGGGCTGGAAGGAGTCAGAGGGTGAGTATGATCAAAATACATTGTATGCATGAATTTTCAACTAAAAATATTGTATCCAAAGTTGCATTCCATACATTTTTCAAAGAAATCAGTAAGCTTAAACATAGAAAGCAAGCAAATAAGGAGACAGAAACCCACTACATTAAGATTAACAATCATTTCAATAAATTATTATTCACTGGCCTGAAACACAAAGAATCTGTGCCTGGAGCTAGACTGGATGTGTCTGTTTGTATGACCCACCCCTTACCTTTAGTCGTGGAAGCTTAAGAAATTCCTCCTCTTCTGAAATTTGTAACAAATGCTCCTGAATATAAGCATCAACTTTATTCAACAAACGGGAGTCTCCCATACAACTTGCAAAATTTCGGTAAGAGATGCAGCTAGTAACATCCATTCTAGATAGCAAATAATCTCCACAAACCTTGGGAAAGAAATACAGATGTGCTAACTTTTATATAATACAGAATTTTATTCAATGTTTAATGTTCACTATGTAAATACCACATGAAAATAATAAAGATGAGCCCTAAATAACTGTCTTGATACGACAAACAGCAATGGAACAGCACATGTACATCGCAACCATTACATATGAAAACCATCAGCTGGACATGGTGGTACAGATACCTAGAACCTCAGTATTTAGGAGGCTGAGCCAAGAAGATTTTAAATCCAAACCCAGCCAGACCTAAATGACAAGATCATGTCTCAAAACAAACCGAATAAACCAAAGAGCGAAAGAAACAAAGAATGCTACATAAACACATAAGCTGTTTAACCACAGATGTGACAAACTGAAATGTAGTATAGGTTCTGGTAGGTATTTTCAACAGTAACAAGCAAGGCTCCAAATAGGGATCTACAGCGGAGAATGAGTGCAGTGGGCATAAAGGATGTATAGCAAAGGGAAATGATTTTGGAAAAATAGTATCTATAACAGAAGAAGCCAGAATGTGAAACTCAGCAATATTTGATATGTGGGCCATATTTTGTTTAACTCTGTCATTGTAACTAGAAAGCAGCCATGGATCATCCATAGAATCCACATGGCTGTTTTCCATAAAATTTTATTATTTTTACATGTATGAGTGTATTGCCTACAGATAGAAGTACACCTGTGTCATGTAATGCCCAAGCGGGGAAAGAAGAGGGTATTAGACTCCTGGAACTGGAGTTAAGGGCGTGTTAGCTGCCATGTGGGTGCTGGGAATTGAACCCAGGTCTACTGCAAAAACAGTCACTGCTCTTTAATTGCTGAGCCCTCTCCAGTGCCATAAAACTCTATGAGCTCTATTCTCAGCACCCGTATCAGCTCACAACAGCCTGTAACTACAGCTCCAGGGCATACAATGCCCTCTTCTGGCCACAGAAAACACCTACATATGTTCACAAACATACATGGAAAACACACACACACACACATATGCACACATACAAAATACATACACTGGCATTAAATTCTAGGCAGAATACTTTTGGGTTTTTTTTTGTTGTTGCTGGCCTCTAACTCACTTTGTAGAAGAGAGGAACCTGGAACTCACAAGATCCATCTGCCTCTGCCTCCCCAGTACTGGAGTTAAAGGTGTGCACCACCATGTATGGCTAGGCAGAATCTTTTAAAGTAGAACCCAAAGTACAGGAGAACAACTGAGTTCATAAATTGCTAACTCTTGGGCAGATGAAATATTTTAATTTATGCTATCAAAGACTTCAATTCCTTAACAGATTTCTTTGGCACTGCACTGGGGCCAACATTTATCTCATGTTTTGAAACTCAATTCAGTCTATGTTCAAGCCAAAGAGGTTCAAGTTAAGGCAAATTTTGTGGATTTATGTTAGTAACCATATAGTTGTAATTAATGCTATTTAACATATTTCCAAAAATGTATTTAACCCTAGACTAAATGTAGTATTTTGTATAACTTGATTTCCCAATACTATTGTCATCTCCACAGAAAAATATACTAGCAGTATAAACAAAAAGTAAATCTGATGGAAATTCACTGAGATTCTGATATAGTCATTGTGCCACAAAGTTTGTCTGAAGAGCAAGGATATGTGATCTTGCTACATTATTAAAGCCCAACAGTCAAAACAACATACTGTTAGGCAGAACTTTCAATTCTTAGAACTAATAAAATGTTTCATGATCATTTCTACATTCTGGTCCCACAAAGCACACTACTAGTACAATCCTTTTATATTACTTCTAATACTCTACCTGCTTTACTCGGTCCATCTTCAGCTTCTTTGCTGCAGAATAAACATCTTTCACTAATTCCTTATCAGCTTTCAACCTATTAAAAAAAAAAGTTCTTTATACTTTAATAGCAAGGTCTTAAAATAGACACTTGATTTAAATAATTTTAGAGACTTGGAATTCCCTGAAGATAATCTCTAATTTTATAGTTTAAAGTACTTACTGAGCAGTGTATGCGTAATTCAACAAGACTTCAACAGCTTCTGGATTGAGATCATCAAATTTCACATGAGAAACTCCATGAGGATCACTGTCACTATTAAAAATTTCAAATAAATAGGGGCTGCAGCAAGCCAGTACTGCCCTGTGTGCCAACATCTCATGGCCACAGACCTGAAATTATGAAAACTAAAATCAGTCATGGACTATGTAGGTATTCTCTAATATACCCACCTCCCTTATCTCTTATTTCTAGTTAAAGCAGTTTTTAAAGAGGGGGAAGAGAAAAAATCCAACAACTTAGGGCTTTTATTAACATTAGTGAAAAAAATCAATTCTTTTAAGTTTCTAATTGAAAAGCTTTAAATACCTGAAGTCGAACATCACAGAACTGACCACTTTTCCTCAGGGCATTTAATTTGGCAACAGAAGATTCAATAAAATTTTCATCTTCAAACATCAAATAACCATTGGGAATCATTTTTTCTTATAAATTTGGCTAAATAGAAGAGAGATAAGTTATTGTACTTACAAATAGTTTTTAAAATGTATTTTAAAATACAATATAGTACCTTTATACTTAAATTCCACTCAATCAACACACATACAAAAAAATCAATCACACAGAAAGTTGGTTGAAACAACACCAATACAGGACACAAGTGTTTGTATCCCCCATACTTTGATCCTGGGTCTTTTCAAGAAATCAAAGTAGTGTACAGACAAACAACTCAAACAAGGTTTCCATGACTAACACATATTCTGGAGAGGAATAAAATGCAGTCCTGCCCAAACCTACATAAGAAGCCACTTAAAAAGTTGGTAAGAATGTGAATAACATACAGATCTTCTTGGATTGGGTTACTGCCATTCCTTTACTCACAAATAAAAACAATGTTCTTTTTTATATAAAACAAATCTACTGTCAAACTCAGTATGTAGCTCAGACTGGCTCTGAACTCCTTGGCCTTCATTCCTTCCTTCACCTCCATGCTGGGATTATAGGCACAGGCCCCTATACCTAGCAAAACTAACTTTCTTTATAAAGACACTGTCCCCACACCCAGTATTAGGGATTGAACTGCCTCAGGAATGCTAGGCAAATGCTACCACTGAGCTATACCTGCAGTCTAATGCCCTTAAAGATTTTTTTTTCAACTTACCTTTACTTATAAAACTAATTACTACATAAAATAGACCATTAAAAAGCAGTAGTAGACTTCAATTTGAAGCAACTTAAAATAAAAACAGCTAACAGAAAGGAGAAATGTAAAAATGCTTTAGAAGGGTTGGTAAGATGGCTTAACAATTAAGGCACTTACCATCAAGCCTTGCATTTAATCTCTGGGACCCACAAGGTGGAAGGAGGGAAATGAGTCTCTTAAGTGGTCCTTTGACCTTTGACATTCTTACCCTGGTATGCACATACTCCCATGTATGTATACAGTAAGTAAACAAACAATTTTTAAAATGCTTTGCATATTCAAATGATTTAGGAACATCGCTGCCTTTTTAAATACTAAGGGATTATTTCTATACAGCTTTTAGAAAAACACTGTCTTAAAAAAAAAGAATTATTCATTATTATTAGAGAGAAAGACAGAGACTGCACTTGCATACCCTGTCATGTGTGTGGAGGTCAGAAGATAACTTTGTGGAGTTGATTCTCTCACCTTTACATGGTTTTCAGGGACCAAACTAAGGATATCAGGCTTGCATAGCAAGTGCCTTTACCTGCTGAAACCATTTCACCGGCCCTCAAAAAAGTCTTAATGACAGATGGGCATTTAGTGTTCACTTGGCACTTACCGATTATAATGATGAGAAATGTACTACTGAGAACCCAAATGATCCAAAGACAAAGGAGTGTTGAAGCAAAGCACTTCCTTAGGGTATGAAGATACGTGGCTGAAGTGAAGGGAGATGTCTTAAGCTTTAATGGTGGTTCCAAAACTATCAGGCTTGAAAATGATGTAATCAAGTCCTTAAAAGCTATAGACATGAATTTCTTCTGTGATAGTCATGCATCATACTCTGTAACAATAACAAATTTAAGTTAGATATTCAGAACTATCAGTCTGTCATTCATCTAGGTAGAACAGACCAGAAAGTCTTAATCTTCGAGGTAAATGGCAAAAACATTCATACTACATAAAAAAAACGAACTTAATAACAATTATACACAAACACCTTTCACTTAACGTGCAAATATACTCAAGTGATAAAAAAAAAAAAAAAAAAAATCCAGGCTGGAGAGCTGGCTCTGAGGTTGAGTGCGTACGGTTACTACAGAGTACCCAGGTTCCCAGCACCCATATCAAGATGGCTCACAACTGCCTATAATCCCAGCTTTGAAGAGCTCACTCACCTTCTTCTGGTTTTCAGGCACCCACATACATGACACTTCCCTCAACACATAAAAAAATAAATAAATATAAAAATATAAAAATCTTTCCCCATTAGCAGGAGCTAATGACTAGCAGTGTGTCAGCCTAAGAATTAAAGGAGAAATGTAAGTATTAACTCTAAAATTCTTTACTATTAAATTCCAACTAATAGGCCAACATGAGATGTCTGCTTTTAGGAGCCAGCAAGCTACCTTTGGGCACTATTAGCCGAACATTTTTATACTGTTAAAACCCAGATATCCTGCTCCCCAAAGTGTGCTCTGCATTTCCATGCCTCTCTACCTGGAAAACCCTTAATCCAACCCATGAAATGGAATCTCTGCCAAATTCCCAGAGCTAGGAAACAGTCCTGCAAGCCCCCAACTCCAATTTAGAGCTCTTTCTGAAGGTATGTATGATTGTCTGTTCTGTGTTCCGCCTCCATATACCTGTTTATATTCAACTCCAGGCCTCAAGAAGCCAAAGCCTGTTTTATGTGATTTTTGTCATGCAGAGTAGAAAAATACCAATAGAACAGGTCTGGTTCAAACCAAATCTTTTTTAAAAAATTTTTTTCTTTTTGAGACAGGGTCTCCCTGTAGCCCCAGTTTACCTGGAACTCAAGAGATCTGCCTGCCTATACATCCCAAGTGCTGGTCAAACCAAATCTTAAAGTATGCACACAAACTTTAAAAAATAGACTCTTGGGGCTGGAGAGATGGCTCAGCAGTTAAGAACACTGTTATTGCAGAAGACTTGGGTTCGAATCCCAGCACCCCCATGGCAGCTAACAACGGTCTGTAACTCCAGTTCCAGGGGCTCCGACAGCCTCTTCTGTCCTCCGCGGGCACTGCCCGACATGGGTGCACTTACCTACACCCATGCATGCAGGAAATACATGCATACACATAACATAAAAATAATAAAATATGTAAAAAAAAAAAGAAGACACAGGAACTTTAAAAAAAAATAACAAAAACAGACTCTTGCCAGGCGTAGTAATGCATGCCTTTAATCCCAGCACTTGGTGGGCAGAGGTAGGCGGATTTCTGAGTTCCAGGTAAACTGGGGCTACAGGGAGACCCTATCCAAAAAGACCCAAAAAAACCTATTACCTAGATTTTGTGATTCTTCTTTGAGAAGCCCAAGCCCATGCTCTGAGTGGCTTTCTTCCTGAATGCCTCTCTTTCTTTTAATCCTAATGCTTAAAACCGCTTTTAAAATGCCTTTACTAACCCCAACTGTTTCAAACATTACCTTGATTTGTTTCATACATCAAACTCAACCTATTAGTTCTATTGGTTGTGCCAGCTGAATAATTACTTGCCCTAGACGCCACCCAAAGCTAGTCCAGTTCTAGTTAACAAACTTTCTGTGTTAGGTAAGACGTGTACTACCTGTAAGAATGCTGGAATCTATATGCCCTAACTGGTATCTCTATAACTTGGGTTTTAATTCAAAGGAACTGCCCACAGACTGGGATTGCTGTCAAAGCTGCCTCTTCATTAAAATTCTATAGGCTACGGATGTAGCTCAGTTGGTAAAATGCTTGCTTAGCATGTATGAAGAAGCCCTGTGATCCCAGCATTTGAAAGGTAGAGCCAGGAGACTGAGAAGGGCTTGGTGGATAATGGCACTTGCAAACAAGCCTGAGAGCCTGATTTTGATTCCCAGGACCCATATGGCAGAAAGAGAACTGACTCCCACAAGTTGTCCTCTGGCCTCCACAAGTTCACCATGGCACATGCCCACATACACCCCCAACACAAAATACATGTAATAATAAAAATTCAAGGCCATCCTCCGATATATTCAGTTTGAAGCCAGTCTGGAATACATGAGACTCTCAAAAAACAAAACACCAACTCTATCATATTATATGATGTTGATTTCTTCTGCATCATACTTTCCTTAAGATAATAATTTTAACATGTTCTCTGACAACTTGTTGCTCTACCTTATTTTGGAAAGAAAAAGATGGTTAAAATTACTAGTCTTTTAGGAGAAAGCTTGGGAGCAGTTCTTGACATATGAATTTGTACACCATTGTTATGAGTTTATGAAAGAATGGGTCTTATTTATATTTAGTACTTAACATTTTGTACATCAAGATCTTAATGAGATGGGTATGGTACCACACACCCATCCCAGCACTTGTGAGGTGTAGGAAACAACAGGAGCTCAAGGCCAGCTTGCCTTACAGAATGAGTTCAAGGCCTTGGCTACTTGAGACTGTCTCAAGAAAAAAAAAAAAATCTTAATATGAACCTCACCTTTTTTATTACCTACAGATCATTAAAACCTTATATAATTAAAAAAAGACAGTCCAAGTTCAGCTAATGTTTAATGCAAACTTGTTTTCAAAAGTTTGTGTTTACTTTCATTAAACTAAGCTTGGGCAAATCAAGTGTTTAAAGTATCCCCAAATTTCACATTTTTATTTGGCTTATCAAATTCATGCACAGTAATATGGTCAGTATCAGAAATGGAAGACAGAAGACTTGCTTATATCACTCAGAATTCACATGTTACCACAGCCTAGATTAGCTGAAGTGAAATACAATCCAACAAGTCCTATAGAGCCCTACCTCCCCACTCCCCACCCCTTCTTTTCTGGCCTTCAGTAAGGGCAAGATGAAACTTAGCATTTTCAGAGCATTCTTAAAAGCTCAAGGTAAACTAAAAATATTTAAGCTTAAAGGCAATTGTTTGAAGGCAGTCAACTACAAAGTAACTCAAGAACCCCCTTTCTCAAGTGCTGGACTAAATCCAGGGCCTCATGCATGCCAGGCAAGCACTCAACCACTAAGCTACACTCAACCTACCACTTAAAATCAGAAGGTGGATAGATGATAGATAGATGATAGACAGATAGCTAGCTTCCAATGTCATCCCTAAAAGCACTATCACCAGTCATCTAAATCAAAAGTAACAACTCATTTGCTTTACACCTTTCTTTACCTTGATGGTCTCAGAATGCTTTCATTACAACTCACATATTTGTGACATCAAAGATGGCAGACACAAACTGGAATGAAATGCATTAATCCCCCAGGTTTGAATATTTCACAGGCCAAGAAGGTAAACCCACAGAGAAAATAGCTGAAGCAAAAGGTAAAGGAAGGTATGACAGAACACATATTCCAGAAACTGTAGCTATTTTGGTTTCAATAGATGGTAAATTGTAGGATGCACATGGCAAACTGTGGGAGAGGAGGTAAGTGACTTATTCTAGGGTTTTTAACAACCCTAACTATGGAGACCAGATGAAGGAAGCACAGGGTATCTGAGAAGGGAATGGGGGAGTGCGGGGAGAAGTAGGAAAAACATGGACATAAGACATTTAAATGATGGTTCTGTCCACCCATGCTTACTTTGTCCTTAACTAAGGTAAGGAAGACTAGAAGTTATTTTAGCTTGTATGCTATGCTATTATGACCAAAATCAATTTTTTTAAAAAAATTCCAGAAACCATAACAGTCATTTTGAGCTACTGCATGGAGAAAAATAGACAAAAGAACCTGGTTTGGGATGTTCGGCTGCTGAGGTGCCTGCTGGACATCCAGGTTGATATTCAAACTGTTAAGAATATTGTCCGTTGGAGGTTTAGAAATATTAACAAGGTGGTAATGGATATTTACACAGTAAGATGAACCAAGACCCCCCAAATCACTCTACTAATACTTCAATTTAACACCAACACAAGATAGGAGCCTGAACCTTTTAAGAATTACTTCCTTAAAAAAAAAGGAAAAAGAAAAAAGAAAAAAGAATTCCTTCCTGCAGTATTTTACTATACCATCAGGACAGCTGGGGCTACAGGGAGCCCCTGTCTCAAAAAGAAAAAAAAAAAAAAAAAAAAGCTAATGATTTTAGGTACTTCACATTAGTATCAATGATCAAGACATTTACAGAAACTTATATGCAAAATCACATTTGGACGTCACCTATGAAAAATCTCTCCATTTAAGAGCAAGTAGACCAAAACCCACTAATTTAAAACTAAGACTAAAATAAAACCTGGACTGCTTTGTCTTTGGAAAGGACAATGTGAGGAAAAAAGACAACAACAAATTAAGACAAAAGCTACAGAATCGGGTATTTACTAATTAATCTGAGATTTCATATATTAGTAAACTACAGAAGAAAACCACCCCACCTCTCTCCCCCCAATGTACCCACCTACCAAAGTATAGAGGTTTAATAAGCAGCCTGCTAGGGGGCATTACAACATGCGGGTTTCAACCCAGTTCTATCCAGTCAGTGTTTACAACCAGGCTTACCAACACAGCTACTCCTTCAACATCTTTAAGACCTAAGTTTTTAGCAGGATTTAACCTGAAACTATTTATTCGTTAATATTTTCCCTAAATCAACTGCGGGTGCGAGAATTTCCAAAATTATTAAAAGAAAATATGGCCAAGGTGGTCAGGTCCGTCCTGCACACATCTACTAGGCTTCCAGAACTATCATGTATGACACGAAAACAAGAGACAACACGTAAGAACTCCAAGAACTTGATGTTGGAGCGTTCCAACCTTCACCACTGACAAGAAACATTAAAAAACCAAAACCTTCCCTTTAGGTCACCTGATATCTTGTTTGAAAAGTCAGTTTTCTGAAATAATCTGTACTAGTATGGGGGAGGGGAAGCAAATGTATTTCTCAAGTTTTTTTGAGGGAGGAGGCGCTCCGATTTCCTTACGTTCAACTTTCAGGTTAATATTTTCTGATGTCTTCTTATCAAGAATTTACAACCAGAGCTCCTCCGCAGAAAGCGCTGCAGCCCCGACAGCAGCCTTCTCCACCCATCTCTCCGCTAGCGCCCAGGGACCTCGTGCTGCAGGCCTCGGGCGCGCGCCTGGTGGGTTAGGAGAGGCGCCGGCGCCCGCACACCCCCGGCCGCGATTGGCCGGCTCCGCAGTCACTCAGAGCCTACACGTCAGGGCAGCCGCTCCCTCGCTCCGCCCGCCCCCTTCTCCCCGCGCTTGGCAAGAAGAGCGGGCAACGTGGAACGGGAACAAAGGACCCCACAGCCCACGGCGATCGGGGACTCTGTGCCACCCCACGCCAAGCCCGGGAAGCCACGTGCTCCGAGGCCGGCTCCCGTCCCCACGCGCCGGGCGGTCGTAGCCGGGACAGCCTCGACCCAAAGCCGGGCGCCCGACCCTGCCGGCGGGAAGCAAATCCCGCGCCGCGCGCTCTTCCGGCGGGTCAGCCTTCCCCGCCGAGCGCCCGGAGGGCCTCCACCACCCTGCGCGGAAGCCTCTCGATCCCTGCCCGGGCTGAGCGAAGGTCTGAGGCCGCCGTGTCTTCACAGCGGGCGCCAGCCCTCGGCATCACGAGCCGTCAACCTCGGGAGCGCGGCGCCGGGACTCCCCCACCGGGAGCCGGAGACGCCCAGCATCTTCCCACCCGGCGTGCCCTCAACTCCATCCCCAGCCGCGCTCTTTCCCGCCCGCGTTACCTGGATCATCTCTGAAGAGATGGCGAAATTCATCTCCAGAGCTTCCCCGAGGTGCAGGAGGAAGGCGGGGAAGGGGCCCAGCGAGAGCGCAGAGACGCGGCGGAAGCTGGAGGGCGGCGGGCCGCGCCACGGGACACTCGCGGGAACTCCGACGCGCACAGCAGCTCCGAGCTAGCGACCGACCTCCACGCTCGTCCAGGACACACTGCCGCCGTCGCGCGCGCTCGCGCCGCACTCCCTCGCACGTCACCACGTGCGCCGCCGCCGCCTCCCGGCTCGCTTCCGGCTCTGAAGCCTCAGCGAATTGGAGGCGAGCTCCCGGGAAGATCCTGCTCGAAGACCCCACCCATAGCCCAGGCCCCGCCCATACGCACCCCGCCCTCCTCCTTGGTCATACGGCTACTCCCGGCCTCAACTAGGTCAGCGCAAGGTGATCCTGACGGCCGCTCCCGCCCGCGCCCCGCACCTGGCTTCGCCCTTTCCCTCTGTCCTGAACTGGTTCCCTCCTGCCATCTTCACCTGTTCTGCATTCTCCAGGCACCATTGCGCGAGAGATCCGACGTGGCGATTAGGTTTCTCAGCGTCACACTGACTTCTAGGCAACCACCCGAGACTGGAGCTGCCTGCTCTGGGGACAGGCAGTAGTTTGTAGCCCTTACCTTGGAGGTGGAGGATGAGGAATGGAGGAAGAGAGGCAGTGCTAGAGGAGGGCCTGAACCACCAACCCCTGATTTGCCCTGGTGTGGGTGAGGCTTCAGTGAGTGGGTGAAAACAGATGATCCTGTAAGCATACCATAAAGACCTGTTCCCTTCTCTTTACCCCAAGTTCTCTGGAGACAAGTCAGTCCCTTTCTAAGTCTTGCCTTTTTTAGGTCAAAGAAATAGCCTTGAGATTGGTAGTCTCTATCTCAACCTCCTGGCCCAGCAGCCAGACCCAATTATCCACCCACCGCCTTGTCCGCTGGAGGCAAGTATGTTTAGCTGAAATGTGATTTAAACTGGACTCTGCAGCGACTTCATAGAACACTGAAGGGCACTCGGGGAAGTTTCCTTGATGAAGCTGAAGGGATTTGGTGAGATTATATCCAAACATGTGCAAATTATGCACATATTGGTAAAGTTTGGTAAAGGCTTTTTGATTAACGTCTTGTTAGCTTATGCTGACTTGTGGGGGCCACTTACACTGTGTAGTGTAACTCTACACTGTTGTCTTTGTATCACCTGGCTTAATTTGTAGACATTTCTCAGAGTTCTTTGTCAGTGCTTCCCACCTTTAACTTGTGCTTCTGGGACAAGAAATATAAATTTGGGAGGCCTTCGGAAACTAATAGACCCTTTACAACTTTTATATTTTAAGATCTTGAGGCAAGGAGACGTGTTTCCTTTTTTTGTTGTTTCAACGAGAGGAGGAAGTAGGAACCAAGATGATTTTTGTACTTAAAGAGAAAGACCGGCATTTATTACCTGACTTGTTTCATCTTGCTGATAACACAGCAATTACTTGAATTGCAGATGAAACTGTTAGGGTACATAATTCCTTAGCTCTTTCAATGCCATGGATTTCATCCTTGAAGTGAGAGACTATGAACAGCCCACTTGGGTCAGGCACTTGACTAGTCTGCTGGATGCCTGGTCCTACTTGCTCTACTCTAAATAGTGCCTTTGTGATCTGAACAGTCAACGCTTCTCTTAAAGTAGAGTCAATGCATTTTTGTCTTTGTATGTTCCCTTCTCTATGAATAATGGCATAATTGACATACTGTATTTGTTTTATAGGCAATTAAGGCTATTCAATTACTATATAATTCTCACTAAAACTTGAAAATGAGCTAGAGATGATTATTTTCTTTATGTCTTTAATAGCAACAAATTATACAATTTTACTCTCAGAACTGGGGACATAGCTCAGTGGTAGAGCACTTGCCTAAATATTCAAGGCCCTGGTTTCCATCTCTAACACTGCAAAAGCAAGCACACATGCACATAAACACACACACACACACACACACAGAGTAACAGATTATGTAAAAGTACTTAAGAAATATTAATTTGGGGCCTGGAGAGATGGCTCAGCCATTAAGAGCACTGACTGCTCTTGCAGAGGACCCGGGTTCGATTCCCAGCCCCCACATGGCAGCTACAAACCATTTTTAACTCCAATTCCAGGGGAATCTGAAGCTCTCTTCTGACCTCCACGGCATTGCATGACACGGGTGCACTCACATACATGCAGACAATACACTCATACACATAAAAATAAAATATTTTAAAAAATTATTAATTTGGACCTGTGAACTGGCTGATGGTCTGAATGTAATCCCTGGGTCCCATATGGTGGAAGAAGACAACTGACTCCCACAAATTGTCCTCTTACCTGCTCCCCAACACACTGTGGCACATGAACACACACATATATGATAAATAAATGTAATTTTTTAAATATTCATTGAATGTGTATTTTGTGTCAGTCTCTGAAGAAGATAAATTAAGAATTGGTATCAGTCACCATTTTTCATTTTTCTTCTTGATTCTGACTTGTGATTTGTTTAGTCTCAACTTGCTTATTTCCTAGGGCTACTGTAACAAAGTATCACATACTTTCTTCAAGGACAAAATTTGTGTCACAGTGCAGGAGGCTACAAGTCAGAGATCAAGGTGCTGGCAGTCCATGCTTCCTCTAGGTGCTGTGGGAGAAAAATCATTCCTGGCTATAAACTAGCTTTTGCTGGTTCCTGCATAACATCAATCTTGCTTTGTTTTGGGGGTGTTTTGAGACAGTGTTTCATTATATAGCACTGAGTGCGCTTGAACTTGTGATCTTCCTGCTTCAACCTCCCAAGTGCTGGAGTCATGGAAACATACCACCAATACCCAGCTATAATTCTAATCTTTGTAATATTTTCTGTTTGCATACCTGGTCTTCAAATTTTCCTTTTTAAGGCCAGGCATATTGTGGCATATACCTTTAATCCCTGGAAGGCAGAGGCATGTGGATCTCTGTGAGTTGCCAGCCTGGTATATGTAATGAGTTCCAGACCAGCTGGGGCTACATGGAGATCCTGTCTCAACAAGACTAAAAAAAAAAAAAAAAAAAAATTTTCCTTTAAAAAAAAAAAAAAAATAGGCAGAGGCAGGCGGATCTCTGTGAGTTCAAGGCCAGCCTGGTCTACATAGTGAGTTCTAGGACAGCTGGGGCTACAGGGAGACCCTGCTTCAAAAAGAACAAAAAAATTTTTTTGAAATTATTTTTAGCTGGGTGTGGTAGTGCACGCCTTTTATCCCAGTGCTCAGGAGGCAGAGGCAGGCAGATCTCTGTGAGTTCAAGGCCAGCCTGGTCTACATAGTGAGTTCCAGGACAGCTGGGGCTACAGGGAGACCCTGTCTCAAAAAGACAAAAAAAAAATTATTTTATGTGTATGAGTGTTTGGCCTGTGTGTCTATATGTCTGCCACATGTATGCAATGCCCATGGAAGCCAGAAGAGGACATTGGATCCCTGGGAACTGGAGTTATAGATGGTTGTTAGGCCTTATATGGGTGCTGGGAACTGAACCCAGGTCTTAGGTGCTGAGCCATCTCTCCAGCGCCCCCTCCCATTTTCTCTTTTTAAGAGATTATCAGTCATGTTAAAGTATTCCAGGAGGATTGTATTTTAACTAAATCAGCAACTACTCTGTTCCCAAATGAGTTCATGTTTTGAGGTACAGAGAGTTATGACTTCAACATGAATTTGGGAGGCTAGAGGACAGTATTCAACTCATAACACTTTGGTTCAATGTCTCTCAACTGTGGTCAGTGACCACATTTGTAAGAATCACCTGTCTGTCCTTAGGAGACAGACATGTCCCAAGGCTTTACCCTAGAGTTATTTTGCCCCAAGGGACATTTGGTAATGCCTGGAAACTAGGAAGTGAGTACTTACTATTGATATCTAATGGGCCTAGAATGTTACTAAACGTCCCACACTGGCTCAGCACAAAAGTGATCCCCTCCCCCCAAAATGTCAATAGTGCCAAATTAGAAACCCTGCCTTAGAACCATTAAGTTTCAGTCTCTGGGAAAGGGACCCAGCAGCTTTTCCCCACACTCAAATTGGAAAAACCACTACAGATCCCTTTGTGTCTGCTCTAAGCAGATGCGCATGCTGCATTTCTCTCAGATGTTTGCCTGTCTCTTATTTAGAAGCCTTGCTAATTATGGTAGATTGATTTACTTAAATATTACCACTTGGCAATTCTGATGATTACTAAATCATAGTCTTGCCATAAATATTAAATTGGAAAATTTTTTTACATCTTCAGACTACTGAGCCATGTGACATTATCTTTTGATCATTTTCTGCATGCCCTGTGCCTAATGAAAGCTGATGCCAGCCGGGGCACCACTTGCCAGGGACTCCTTTGTATCTTCCAACCCACTGTTTTCTCCTGTATTGAGTGACTAACTTCTGTTTCAAGTGTTTCATTCCTTGTAGTTAATGTTGCAATTTCTTCAGTTTCTTTTTCTTCTTCCCTTTTGGCCCTTGAAGGTATTTTCAGGGCACAGTAGTGGAGTCTTAAGAGGAGAACTAGAAAACAGTGGTATCCTGAAAGGCACAAGAAGCCTAGAGAAAAATTTTCCAGCTTCCATACTCCCACTAAAGTAGGTCACTGGAAATTGTTATGTATTATAATGCATAAAAAATTAACAGCTCTGCTGGGTGTGGTAGCACACGCCTTTAATACCAGCACTTGGGAGGCAGAGGCAGGCAGGCAGATCTTTGTGAGTTCGAGGCCAGCCTGGTCTACATAGTGAGTTCCAGGACCAAAAAAAAAAAAAAAAAAAAAAAAAAAAAAAAAAATTAAGAGGTCTAAAATATTGTTTTCTTAATAAGTATTCCCTGGTGGGACAAAACTTCCATTTTCCCAGTAAGACCTCCATAGATTTTTCACCAAAGTAAAGCAAACTGTTCCATTTATTTATTTTAAATCTGATGATTAGAAAATTCTTCAAATATGTATCTTAGAATACTTTAGCACTAAATTATCCTCACTGATTGTTACATTATCCAAGGAGACAATCTTAGTGGTGACATTGTGCTTGTTTTCTAAAGTCATTACTGATAAAACTTTTGAGATCCACTCAAGCCTCCTACTGCAATCTTGGGAATTAAAACTTTATGTTGGGGCTGGAGATGTAGCTTAATTGGAAGAATGCTCACCTGGCATACACAAAACTCTGGGTTTGGGAG